GACTGAGCCACCCAGGCGCCCCATCTTTCTTTCTTTTTTTATAAGCTCTGCTCTGGCAATGGGACAGAGTAGAAAGAAGACTTTGGTGACAGGCAGCCCTGAACTTGAACTAGCTCTATCATTTATCAGGCCAAAAGAAATTGGTAAGAGATCATCTTCAAATCTCTGATCCCTCATAGGCAAAATGGAGATAAAAATGTCTAGCTCAAAGATTTGTTTTAAGAATTGAATCGGATAATATAGGCCAAGTATCTCTCTGGTACCGCATGTCAGCAATGTTGAATAAATGGAAGCTATTATTCTTTTAATCATTAGTTAAGAAAAAAACACAACAGTAGGTTTCAACATCATATGTACAAGAAGGGCTCAACTGTTTAGAAGCCATATGAAAAAAAAAAAGCAGGGAAATAAGCTAAACCATTTAGGGTTTCCTATGTGTGACCGAAAGAAGTTGCTGTTTTTTCTTTCTGTCTGTCTTTCTAAACTCTACATGCTGTGTGCACTTTGCTTGTATTATTTTAATAAATAAAAAGCAAAAGAGAACTAATCTCTCTCCTTAAGTGGATTCTGTTTTTTTTTAATTTTTATTTATTTATTTGAGAGAGAAAGAGGGGGCAGAGGGAGAGAGAATCTTAAGCAGACTTCCTGCTGAGTGAGGAGCCTGACACGGGGCTCGATCTCACCACTCTGAGATCATGACCTGAGCTGAAACGAAGAGTCAGATGCTCAACCTACTGAGCCACCCAAGCACCCCTCTATTTAAGTGGATTCTTTAGGAGATGTTTCATTACATCTAGAAAATGGGAAACAAATGGTCAATGTGTGAATTAAAATGCCTGACTTTTACTCTCCAAGGGAAAAAAGTGATCTTACAAAATTTGCATATCATAGCAAGGACTCAGCCCCTATTCAAGTGTTAACATCTTTAATCATGATAGAAGTTCAATTTTAGCTGACAAACGCTATGCTTGACCAAAGAAGTCTAACTACACCATCAACTCAGATTTGGCTGCTAGTTTTTCTTACAGTGAAACTGGTCATCAAAGAGTTTGATATTCCATCCTAAAGACTAAAGTTTTAGTAGATTTAATGATTATTTGTGTTGCTAAACAATAACTATGGTCTTTGAGATGCTATAATAAAATTTCTTCTTAAAGAAAATTGTTCTCAGGGTTATAGTAGCCCAGCATTCTTCCATCTTCTCTATGGTCCCTTATCTTTTTTATAAAAATGGATATCCTTTCAATTGTCCCTTTTTCTGACTTGTAAGGGAATTCTTTTAAAAAGAGACCTCTAAATGGGGGAAAGCAGATTTGTTTATAAAAGCTGACAGAGCAAGAAAGATTTTTCTACAGATAGACTGAAATGGAACTTTCTAGAAAAAGGTGCTGACGCTCTCTTGTTATCGGACTTCCTTCCTTTCGATTTTCTGTGAAATGGGACATTGAGAAGCAAGTATCAAAGTCCAAGAAAAGCGCTGTGCCACTTACCCATGCAGTCTGGGCCCCAGTGACCTGGACAGCACTGAGGTTGGACATAGTCCTTCCTACAGATATGGCGGCATCCAGGGAGAGACAGCGAGTACTTCCTGATCTCAAATATGTACCTTGGAGGGGAAGTAGAAGACATAAACCCATGATCAGAGCAATGCAGTTAACTCTGGGCAGTGGGATTAGCCTACGTTTTTATTTAGGTCTTTCTTTACACTTGCCTATATTTAAAAAAACAGATTGAATACATTTTTGTCTAGGGAGAGCAAAACTTAATAATGATTTACCTTTAATTGTACGAAATGGATGAAAAAATCAGAACACAATGCAAATGAGGGTAGAATATTTACAGTGATGTCAGAAGTGAGGTTAGTAGATAGGAAATAGTGTTAGGTTCTAGGCACATGCTAGAGGTGCACTTCACACTTGTCACAGCCAATACGAGAAGGAAAAGGTCATGAGTTCTGTGATGCACAGGATCTCTGAATTTTAAAACGAAACTTTTTTTTTTTTTGCAGATACTGTAGATGTAGACATTTCTGTGAGAGGCGGTGTAATATAATGGGGAATATTTGCCACCTTATACTCAAGGGAGATGTAATGATGAATTTCTTAGAACGGTTTTTATACCATCTGAGGTGCAGATCTGGAATAGCAATTCTGTAGAGGCTAAATACCATTGCCTATTTTCGGGGAATCTCCGCATGGATGACTCATTCTAGGATTTGACTTTAGTATATTTAGAGACAATCCTCCATGAATATCATTTCTTTCAACTGGGCTGTTAAGAATAGTGTGATGCAATGGTGAGTTCAACGTTGTACTTCTAATCCAGTCCCTGAGCTACTGGCTTTACGGCCAGTCAAGTTGGAGACAGAATTGACAGTTCCTCTGAAAGCTTGAGAATACTGGCAGGGACATCTCTTCACAAAGATGGGAAAAGGCAGAGCCAAGGGCAGAACCAAACATCCCCTCAAGAGCCAATCTTGGATTTATTTCAGCATAAATGAATGGCAAATCCAAGTCTTCAATTCTAAAACAGAGAGCATGAGTGCAATAATCTTATCCTGGATGTGTGTGTGTGTGTGTGTGTGTGTGTGTGTTGGAAGGGGGATGGTAAGGTGGGGACTATGTAACCAAGTGTCCACCTTGCCATGAAAAATAGTAGCCAGGACAAAAATGTCCTCAATAAAGTCACCACATAATTTTAACCTTGAACCCTATACCTTTCTATATACTTTTTAAGAGTTTCTGGTCACAGATGTGCCTGCTTTGGTAACTGAATGGTCAACTGTCACATATGCTTGCTAATTCTAGGCCAGTTTGTATTTGGAACCTTTTGTAAAACTGATGATTTTGGTTTTAGAATGTATCATGGTCACATTAAGCAAACATGAATTTAAAATAGTGTGATATAACAGTGTTTAGTTTTTATTTAATACAAAATAAGAAATAGTACTGATCCTTCATCCCTGAATTAAGAATGAACTCATTGAGAGCTGTCTAATGTCTAAATTAGTAGACTGAGTAAATAAAACATTGTGTTTACATTTGAGTTGTATGGCTGCTTCCATTAGCTGGTGAGCAAAACTGCTCATCATCCTTTTTGAGGCTTAGCCTTGAATTATGAGGCTTTTGAATCATAAGAGGATTTCAGGAATGCAATGCTCACATAAAATGCATGAAGCTGTAATTCCTTTGTCTTCCACTTCAGGTTCTAATTAGTATCAGGATCCATAGCTAGCTAATAAGATGACTGTCAGACCCATGGCTTTTTAGTCCATGTTCTGGCTAGAACCCTCTCCAAATGAAACAAAACCCAGATTTTCAAAATAAAGAAGGACAAGATGTAGGGAAAATGTTTATTTGCAATGCAATATAGTCAATTCTGTATTAAAATGTGAATCAATAATCAATAATCAATCAATTTTTTAGATTCAAGGTTGTAAATTGTGAGTTACCTAAGTTTGGACTGAATATAATCTTAGAAAAAGGGAAAATCATGGAAATGCTTTGTAGATTTTGAGATGGGAAGTTTCAATTTGGATTCACAATCCCTTAAATTTCAAGACTTGAGATTTTCTCTTGAGTACCTGCAATCTCGAACCCCCACGGAGCCATTGGTAACCTTGGTGTAACCATCTGGGCACTTAATTCCCAAGTTGAGTGAACAGGATTGGCACTCAGTCCTAATTGTAAGCAGAGATTTCTTATCACATCTTTTTGCCTGCAAAAACATTAAAAAAAAAAAAAATCAAGTCCCATTAGCCGAGCCTTGGTTGGTTATTCTTCCCTATTGGCTTCAAGTCAATGGAATGACAGGGATGGCAACAAGGTTGATTGGTAATGACTGGCTAATTCCTTTCCACCTTATTTAGAAAGAGTGTTGGGATCAGCAAGCAATGTCTGCCATGGCTGTGGGTAGGAAGGAGGCTGCTTGTACCACCTGTTTGCCATCCTTGATCTAAAGTCTGGAATTCAGTAAAGCAAGGTAACATCATTACACACATGTACCCAAATGGGAAACCTGAAATGTGTTATAGAGTACACTTTCCAAATGGGAAAATTTTAAAGTGATTATTTAGGGTCAATTGGTTGTAGATCAACAGGTCTCAAGAATATTCTTCCAGCATTGATTCTACAGAAATAGTCTAGTTTGGGTGCTAAATGCTATGAAGCATGTAATTCCTACTCCGAAGATGTTTGCAATCTTTTGATTATAATTCAGCTAGACTGTGGGCTCCAAGAGGCAGTGATCTTTTTCTGTTTTGTCCTTGACTATACCCTAAGCATCTAGAACAGTGTCTGACACATAGTAGTGCTTAGAAAATATTTGTTGATTGAATGAATGAGTTGTAGGAAATACAATAGATACACTAGAAACAGTTTCTTAGCAACATTAGGCAGTAGAGAATTAGATGCTAGAATGAAGGATGCAGACGCATTTTGGCCCTGTCTTCAGGATCCCTCATTGTCCATGATGTTGATGCTGATCCTCTCAAATGGATTTGGTCCCCTCTCTCAAATCTCCCTCATTTTCCCATCAAGCTTAAGAAAAAGCAGCTTCATATAATGAAGAGAGACCAAATTTGGGAATCAAAAGACTTAAGCTTGGAATCAAGCTCTGTATCTTGCTAAGTGTACAGTCTTTTAATTTTTTAATTTAAAAAAATTTTTATTATCAATCTTTTTTTTTTTAAAGATTATTTATTTATTTATCTATTTGAGAGAGAGAATGAGCATGAGTTGGGGGGCAGAGGCAGAGGGAGAGAGAGAAGCAGACTCCCCACCAAGCAGGGAGCCCAATGCGGGGCTCGATCCCAGGACCCCAAGATCATGACCTGAGCCAAAGGCAAACACTTAACTGACTGAGCCACCCAGGCGCCCCAAGTGTACAGTCTTGAATGAATTCCTTACCCTTTGTCATCCTCTGCAATGGGGAGATAATAATAACCACTCTCCAGGTTATTGAGACCTTTAAATGATATAACACATGCAAATTGCCTGGCCCAGGATCTGGAATGTCATAGGCAATAAATGCTAGTTCCTGTGATGCTTCTCCATCCCCCCCTCTGTGTTTTGCTTACTGCTTCTCCTGAGAGGAATGTGCTTCCCTCTCCTCTTGGCTACCCAAACTTCATCCTCCAAGGCTCTGTGTAACAACTCCACAAAACCATACCCAACTCTCTTCCTTTTCTCAACTTCTACTCTTCATATGGTTGGCCAGTGGAACACATTTTGTTGTCTTTGCTTTCCGTTTAAAAACCCCTTATGGGAGGGTGCCATGTCTCTTCCTTCTTACTTACTCTTATTCCTAAACAGTACAGGCCCAGCACTAGGCAGGGATGGTGGGAACATCATAACTACTAAGTTTACTGAAATGGATAAAGACTGCATAAGAAGAAATCTTATTTTTACAGAGAAATTTATGGTTATACATACTTCCAAGGCATCATCTTATTTGATCTTGACCATGCTGAAGATAAGTAGGGCAGGTTTCATCATGCCTATTCTAGGGAGGAGAAAACCAAGAGGAGGGGAAGTTCAGTGACTTGCCAAGGTCACCCTGTAAGTTCGTGGTCTTCTGATTCCCTGATTCGGTATTCCTCTTCCCTACACGCTGTATGGTGGCATATAGAAAAATGAAATCTGTTTGCATGGGCAGCTTTCATTTGGTGATTGTTATGAACCAAAATAGCCCTGGAATGTTCTTTATGGAATAATAATAAAAGCCACCCTTAGCTAGAGTTTGAATCAACCCCCCCCTTTTTTTTTTTTAAAAAGATTTTATTTATTTATTTGACAGAGACAGAGATAGCGAGAGCAGGAACACAAGTAGCGGGAGTGGGAGAGGGAGAAGCAGGCTTCCCGC